TGATAGCCAAGATTTTTTACGGGCGCTGAGTCCGTTGGAGGCTGTATAGGTAAAGTAGCGCCAGGAGTTTCAAGTGCTATATCTCTTCTATACTGTTTCATTGCTGCCTGAATATAATGATTAAAGCATCAAATTAATAAATTGATATGAATATTCATATAGGAACAATCATTAAATACCTTTTCAATTCTTTCTAATTCACGTTTAGTTTTTGCTGCTTCTTTACGGCTTTCATGTTCCTTACGATAAATGTCTCTAAGAAATTTCTCCTGATTTTCTTTGTGTTTTTTACCTTGCTCATGCATTGTCCGACTCTTAAAAAGAATATAATTACATCATAGAAAAACCATGAGAAATTAAACAATAAGTTACAATCCAAAAGATAAATAAATAGCTTACGGGTTTATTGTCTGCAATATAAATGCGACAATATTGACACCAATGTTTTTGCTGTGATATCCAATACTCTGACCTGTAAATATTGATTTTTTTTTTTTTGTTATCCAGAAGTTTAAATAGATTTAATAAAAAGAGAAACTATGATTAGATTAGCATACTTACATCTTTACAGGTTTGAAAACGAAAAAACCTAGTAGATTCTTGGTGAAGAATGAGTGTGATGTTGCGCTGCGTCTTAGTTAAAAGCCAACCATCCGATTGTAGTAGGCGCAAAAAAAATCAGATCACGTGATAGACGATACCGTTGCACCTACTTTTTTGATGCACCTAAACATACCCTAAAATTTATATACCGATACATTTTTACTAACTTTTACTATAATAACGTGCAATCCTATTGGTTAATTTTAGGGCATGTTTAGGTGTATCAAAAAAATAGGCGTAGGAGTATCAAAAATGTAGGTTTTGCATCAGGGACCCGGAAATACGGGAAAGTCTCCGGACTAGGGTGTCCAGGATTATGTGATGCGATGAGGTAAATTATGCGATTTGACCGAGGTCAATTATGCGATGAATGCGAAATAATTTTAGAATTATGCGAAATATTTGCTTCAACCTTGCTCGTCTTTTAAGTTCTTTTATTTTCTACATCGGAACTTTTCGGAATTGCTAACTATCGCATTTCATCTACCAATCATATTTGAGCCATATGGCCTGAATGCTTTTTTTTGCTTATGCGAAGCATATGCATCGCATCGCATAATCCTGGACACCCTACTCCGGACACTTACTATTCACGTGATTTTGCACTTACCGAAGTCACGTGAGCATAATATATACGCACTTGCATCAAATTTGTAAAATTAAAAACTTAAATAATGCTACCC